GTGGGTGACAGAGATCACGTACTTCACAAGGTAATAAAACATCACAAGGCAAATGGAGGCAGGGCGAGATCACAGGACTACCGGAAGAGGAGAAATTAAAATTGCTAATGAAGTTTCGGGCATGCATTGTCACTGATAACATCTTATCAGGAAACAGGGTTTGAGAGCAGATAACCTGTCTGACCACAATTTATTAGGTGGGAATTTTCCTCCACCTGATAAGCCTGGGAGTGCTACAGGAGACCGGGGCTTATTTCATCCCTTCGGCTTCGACCATAAAAGACAGGACGCCTTAAAAGGGGCTATAGGCCTACCTTCAGGGCGCATTCTCTTTCTCAGGGATGTTCCTTGCTGAGAAAAAGAATTCAGCGGTATTTCTCCTCTTTGCTTATCAAAGAGGAGAAATATAGCTCTGTTCCGTCCAGCTCACCGTCGGCCAGTTCGAAGTTACCTCTCTTATTCCCTGAACATCGCTGTTATCCTGTTCTTTTTTAAGATGCCCAGATTTCATATTGTTCAAACACACACGCTCTACAATTTGTGCAGTTGACACAATCACAGGGTCCTGAGGTGACATTCATCCTCCTCAGCTTACAAAGATGATGATGGGATTAAGAGATTAAAGTAAAGACAGGCATAGGAAATCACAAGGATATTCACTGGGGAAGTGAGAAGTGTCCATGAAATCTTCACAATTTATGTTCAGAGATTACAGTAAAGACAGGTGTAAGAAATTATAAAAGTATTAATTTGGGGAACTAATAAATGTCCATGAAATCTTCACAATTTATGTTCTTCTGCCGGGGCTTCAGCCGGTCCCTCTGTTTGGGGCCCCTGACTTCCCGCAACACAAGTAAAAGATGGCGCTGTGGCTGCAGAGTATATGAACCCAAGTTAGAGGCATCAGAAATGCCTTCCTGGCCGGGCGCTGTGGCTCACGCCTGTACTCCCAGCACTTTGGGAGGCCGAGGCGGGTGGATCACCTGAGGTCAGGAGTTCGAGATCAGCCTGACCAACATGGAGAAATCCTGTCTCTACTAAAAATACAAAATTAGCCGGGTGTGGTGGCACATGCCCGTAATCCCAGCTACTTGGGAGGCTGAGACAGGAGAATTACTTGAATTCGGGAGGCGGAGGTTGCAGTGAGCCAAGATAGCACCATTGTACTCCAGCCTGGATGACAAGCAGTGAAACTCTGTCTCAAAAAAAAAAAAAAAAGAAATGCCTTCCTAGAGAAAACAACAGGAGCTGAGGTTTAAAAGAGGAGTAGAAGAAAAATCCAGGAAAAGAGACAAGGAAAAATCATAAAGCACAAACACAGCATGGAAACATGATAGTTCGTGCAGTGAAGGACTGCAAGCACTCAGTTCGTGCTGAGGACCGCAAGCACTCAGCTCTGCTAAGAAAAAAGTACAAGACAGAAATCAGTGAGATGTGAAATTAGAAAAATACGCAGTAACCAGGTAGTGGCAGGCTTATAGCATAGTTTGAGAAACTTGAACTTATTAGGCAGTGGGTTATGGAGCAAGCATGGTCAAGGATGCCTTTCTCTTAGATTATTGTTTGGTTCCATAGACGATTGAATTTAGACTACATGGGGTCAGAATGACGAGGTCAAAGGCTGGTAGGAATAGGAAGGACACAAAAAAGAGGATCCAGAAGCAAGAAACACTGAGGAAGTAAAATGGACAGGACTTGGTGATTATTGGGATATGGAGAATGAGGGGAGGGGGAACAAGCAAAAGGGGCAAGAAATGGGGGATCTGGGAGTGGAAGGACAATGAACATCATAAGCTGACGCTTTCTTGTGTAAGTTCTAGAGTCCAGCAGTCAAGGGCTTAAGTCTTGGTCCTGTCACTTGCTTGCTATATGACTTTGGTAAGTTATTTCAACTTCTCTAAATTTCAGTTCCTTGCAAATTAAATGGGAATAATATCAGAATCTACCTCATTGTTAGACTGGGATTGTTACAATAACTAAACGAAATCAGGTATGTAAAGTGCTTAGCATAGTGCCTGTTAATCAGAAACACCTATTGATTAAAGAATTTTAAAATGATTATCTGACTATGTCTGTGGTCATAGATCTACCTTTCCTCTTCTTATTAGGGATGAATTGTCCATGTTTCTAGGCAAGGCCAATCCCTCAACTTACACACAAGAACCTATTCCTTTTTGCCAACATCATTCCACCAATTCTTCCCTCCGTCCCACACCATCCATTCCACCCTCTCTCCTGAATCGCTTCTAGAAACATATACACACACAGTCAATTCTCGCATTAAAAAATATTGAACCTGTTCTTAACTCAATTTCCCTGTAACTACCAGCCCATTTCTTTCTTCTTTCCTTGAGTCATAAATTGCTCTTCTGCCAGTCTTTTCAGGATCCATTATAACTGAACTTTCTCTTCTATAACTTCATGAAAGTTGCCTTTTTTCAGATTACCAGTGACTTCTATGTTGCTAGATCCAAAGTTCTTATCTTGCTTAGCACATGTATAGCATTAGATATAGCTGATTACTCCCTTCTCCTTGAAACACTTTCGTTACTTAACTCCCAGGTGACCAGGCTTTCTGCATTTTCCACCATTTCTTTGACCCTCTTTTGCAGTCTCCTTTGCTGATTATTCGTCATCTTTCCAAACTCTAAATATTGGAATACTCAAGGCCTTATCTCTCTACACTCCCTTGGTAATCTTACCAAGTCTCATGGCTGTTGATTCAAAAATCCACTTCTCTAACACAGACCAATCTCCTGAAACTCTAGACTCCCATGTCCAACTGTCTACTCAACCTCTCCATTTGGATGACTAACATGCCTTCCAAGCATGATGTGCCTCAGACCAAGCTGCTAATGCTCACTCCAATAACGGCTCCTCCCCAGCGTTCCCTGTATCATTAAATGGCAACTCCACTCTTCTAGGTACTCTAGTCAACAACCTTATCATGGCCTCTAGCTACAGTCGAATAGCTTAAATTAAACCAGTCCTCTCATGGGAATAAGCATAAAAGCTGAATATTTAAAAAAGCACACATAACAAAAACTACACAGGCTGTTTGAAGGCACTGGAGAGCAACCAAGATGGTCAAGACATGAGAGCCCGGGATCCCAGGAAGAAGAGAGATGCAAAAAGTGATACAGAACTTCTCTGTCGCTTTTTCTTATTAGGGCATTTGCTGAGTTTTGTGCAGGGCATTATGGCGAGCAGAAAGCAGTGACCTGGAGATATCGGGGACCTTTCAGATATGGGGAGATAAAAAATTGGAGTTGAAAACTGCTGATAGGACTTGAAGGGACAAGATCTCAAAGAAAGAAGGATCATAAAGAAGCCAGTCTGACATTTTGTTTGGCTTTTATCCTTGAGGTATTTGCTGAATTCTAAGCTGTAAGGGCACTGGAAATCAAGAAACCAAACAGTTGCTAAATAGCTAAAATGCTAAGTGTACATTTCAACAGTCTCACAGAGCTGGGAGTACAAAAATTGGAGTTCAAAGTCACCCAAAGACGGGGACCTGTTAAATACCGCAGATGTTCATGTTGAGAAAGAACAGAAAGGCCTAGCTCTGGGATAAGACCAAACAAGAAAATGATCAGCCCTCACAAAGTCTGAATCCCTGACTAAAGGTCATCTGAGGCTGAGCACAGGGGCTCATGCCTGTAATCGCAGCACTTTGGGAAGCTGATGCAGGTGGATCACTTGAGGTCAGGAGTTCGAGACCAGCCTGATCAACATGGTGAAACCCAGTCTCTACTAAAAAAATACAAAATTGGCCAGGCATGGTGGTGCACACCTGTAATCCCAGCTACTTGGGAGGCTGAGACAGGAGAATTGCTTGAACCCGGGAGGTGGAGGCCGCAGTGAGCCAAGATGGCACCATTGTACTCCAGCCTGGGCAACAAGAGCAAAACTCCAACTTAAAAAAAAAAAAAGGCATCTGCTCCTACTCTAATTGTTTGCCAGAATAAAATTAAATCCTTTCTGGAAAAAGACAACATCAGCCACAGTCTCTATGCAATATTTATTTATTTATTTATTTATTTATTTATTTATTTATTTTGCCAGAGCCTCTATGTGATTTTTTCCTACACAATGTCCAACATTTAATCAGAAACCTTAGGTTCATCTCTTATGCGTTTCTCTCATGTACCACATCGCGTCCAATCTATTCTACCTTCAAAATTGAGCTGGGATCTTCCCACCACTTTTGGCCCAGATCCAGAACCAAGCTCCATCAAAAGCAAGGCAGTCTGCCCCCCGGACATGGCCTCGGCACTGACTGACCGCACCTCTCAGGCCCAAGCACCACACCTACACCAGATCCAAGCCACTCTCTCACCAGCCTTATTGGGAGCAGCTTCCTATCTGGTCTCTCTGCTTCTGCCTTTGCCCCACTTCAGTCTATTCTCAACCAAGCAACTAGAAAAAACAAATGTTTTTAATCAAACTATGTCAAGCTTCTACGCAAAACCCTTTAGGGCCTTTTAACCCTAGAGTAAAACCTAAAGTCCTTTCACTGACCTACAACGAGGCGCACGGCCTGGCCTCTGACTTCATCTCCGAATGCTCCTCTGCTCCACTCACTCTTACTCCCATCCCCAACATGGCTTCCTGCCTTCGAACTAGGAATTGGCTGCTTCCTTGACCTGGAATGCTGTGCCAATGAGTATCAATTTTCATTTCTTCACCTCCTTCATGTCTTTACTCAAACGTCACCTTCTCAATGAAGCCTTCTCTGAAAATTGCTAGGTCTCCCATGCCCCAGCACCTAGCCTTCTTTCCTGCTTTATTTTGCCTTAGCTATTATAACTATCTAACACACATAATGTACTCACTTTTCCTGTTTGTATGACTCCTCCACTAGAATACAAATTCTGTCAAGGCAGGAGTTTTAATCTGTTGTTTGGTTTGGTTTTTCACTGCTATATCCCCATGAACACGAGGGGAGTGAGGGTGAGGGACAAGAAAACAACAGTGCTTGGCACATACTAGATACTCACAACTATTTGTGGAATGAATCGTTCAGTTTCAGATCATCCAAGAGTTGTCCAGAAAACAGTCAGATATCCAGGACTGTCACCTGAGGGAGAAATCTAGGTTAGAGATACATCCTTTGTTGCCCCGAGTATACAGGTGGTACTAGAAATTATAGATGTGAAATGGGACTGCCCTGGGAGAAAGGAGAAGAAGAGAAACAGGTTGTGGATAAAAACTTGTACAGGCCAGGAGTGGTGGCTCATGCCTGTAATCCCAACACTTTGGGAGGCTGAGGAGGGCGGATCACGAGGTCAAGAGATCAAGATCATCCTGGCCAACATGGTGAAACCCCACCTCTACTAAAAATACAAAAATTAGCTGGGCAGGGTGGCATGCGCCTGTAGTCCCAGCTACTCAGGAGGCTGAGGCAGGAGAATCACTTGAACCAGGGAGGTGGAGGTTGCAGTGAGCCGAGATCACGCCACTGCACTGCAGCCTGGCAACACAGGGAGAGTCCATCTCAAGCAAAAAAAAAAAGAATAAACTTGTACAAGAACCTATAGTGGCTATCAATTTCTTTATAAAGCCCACTGTGGCTGGTATAGCACTACTGGTTACTATCACGCATGTCCATGTGAAGAGACTACCGAACAGGCTTTGTGTAAGCAATAAAGCTTTTTAATCACCTGGGTGCAGGCAGGCTGAGTTCAAAAAGAGCATCAGTGAAGGGAGATGGGGGCCGTTTTATAGGATTTGGGTAGGTAAAGGAAAATTACGGTCAAAGGGGGATTGTTCTCTGGTGGGCAGGAGTAGGGGTCACAAGGTGCTCAGTGGGGGAGCTTTTTTGAGCCAGGATGAGGCAGGAAAAGGAATTTCACAAGGTAATGTCATCACCTAAGGCAAGAACCGGCCATTTTCACTCCTTTTGTGGTGAAATGTCATCAGTTAAGGCAAGGACCGGTCATTTTCACTTCTTTTGTAGTGGAATGTCATCAGTTAAGGCAGGAACAGGCCATTTTCACTTCTTTTGTGATTATTCAGTTACTTCAGGCCATCTGGGCATATACGTGCAGGCCATCTGGGCATATACGTGCAGGCCACAGGGGATATGACGGCTTAGCTTTAGCTCAGAGGCCTGACAGTTACCCACTCAATACCCATTCTATTCTGTCCCAACATCCTTCTAACAGAATTCGTTCATCTCCTCCCTGGCCAAGCATTTCTTGGAGGCCCGGAAAGACTGGTTAGCTGGTCTAATCCAAACACGGTGGTCTTATATATAGATCCTAAGCTTAAGTCAATATGATGTAATTCTGGTCAGTTGGGAGTGAGGGGGTTTTGCTCTTCCAATAAAGACAAAAGAGAAGATACTTCTATTACTACCTTGTTGAAGCCAACAACCCAGGTGACAGAGTGGAAAGGCAGGAGGAAAAATGCGTTGTTGATAATGTGCTGAGCCCCCAAGTTAACCTTCAGGTTAACCAACCTGGGGGGTATAAAATAATGAATTCCTTATTATTCAGGACTGTCACCTGAGGGAGACAGTCCTTATTTCAGCCACTTTGAATTCGTTTTTTGTTACTTGAGGGAAAAAACATTCTAATTAATATGCTAGTTTTTACGGTTTCCACGATGTGGTGCCAGCCTTTCCTTCTCTAGATATTTCTACAACTCATCTACACAAGCCTTGCTTACAGTTTTCCAAATACACCTTGCACTTTTTGAGCCTTTGATCAAGCCATTCCGAATGCACTTCCCCCAAGAGGCTGGCCAGTTAAAATACTATCATTCATCAAACACAATTTAAATGTCACTTTCTCCTGTAGCCCTTTCAGAAATTACCTCAAAATTAAATGATCAGACCTAAAATCTTTTGGGAGTGTTTTCGCCTCTAGAATTTACCACATACCTTTATGTTGGTGTCACTTATAGAATGCCTACATCTGCCTTATGTCATAGACTTCAAAGTGGAGATTAGGTCCAGATCTTAATATAAAGGCTTACCATTTACCAGGCACAGCTCTAAGTATTAACGGTTTTAATCCTCAAGACAAAAGCTAAAGAGATAAATTCTTCCATTGCCACTTTGTGGATTAGGAAAATGAAGCACAAAAACATTTAACTTGCCTGAGGTTTCGGAGCTAGTACATTGTAGAATCTGGATTCAAATCAAGACAGCAATTAGCTGAATGAAGGTGTAACTGTAAATGCAAATAACTGATCACAAGGGATACACATTCACTCACACAAGATACAAGATTTTTAACGTTGCCGATACTAAAAACAAAGCGTCTGCGTTTTTAAGCGCAGCCCCACCCCACGATACTAGATTTACTCTTCAGAGCTGGGAGCCCGATGAAGGGGAACTATTCCTTTATATTTTTTAAGGCTCAATAAATTGCCCACTTCTTTCCCAACATGAGATGTCTGTTGGGGCGGCCCTTGTCGCTCCGTGTACCAAGGGTCCTCCGATTGCTAAGGACACAGCGGTGAGCAGAGAAGGCAGGTGAGGAACTGCACGGATTCAGCCGCAGAGGGCGGCGGCAGCCCGCCCCTGGGGCGGGGGAAGTGGCGGTGCCGGGAGACATCAGGAAGCCCTTCCGTCCCCGGGCACGTAACAGAGCTGGGAGCCTGGCTGCCAGTGGTTTGTCATCGCGGGGGCGGCCTGGGAGCGCTGCGGCGCCGCGGCAGGAGAAACAGCCAAGGACGCCCTGGAAGAGCAGGAGCACGTGGGCGAGAATGGCGCCAACACCAGCCGTGCAAAACCACATCCCAGAGCGGGGCCAAGGACAGCCACCATTACCCCGCAGGCCTCAAGGAAGACGGTCAAGTCAGCCAAGGCCGCCTCCCTAGCCAGGAGCCTCCCAAAGCGCAGGCGCACCTACCCGGAGGGCGCGGCTGGGCGGAGTCAAGAGCCGGAAGAGCCTTGCGCCGCAGTCCTTCCCCGGAAACCCGCGGGCCGGAAGTGTCGGGAGTTCCAGCTCAGAACGCCGGGTTGCTGGGCAACCGATGCGGCCGCTGCAGCTGGTCTCTGTGGTGCTGGGAGCGAGCCCAGTGTAGCTCCCACCTCCTACGCTGCTAACCTCCCGTCCCGCCCGCTTCCCTTGTTGTCGCTTCTCGCGTCGGGGAATCCTTGCCCTTGGCACTACTTACATCTCTCCGGGTCCCACGACACCTTAGCGCCCACCTGCGTCAAAGCCAAGCTCCACCGAAAGCGAGGCAGTCTGCCCCCAGACATGACTTCGGCGCTGACTGATGGCTCCTCTCGGGCCCCGAGCACCTACACCTACACCAGCCGGCCCCGAGCACTGCCCTGCCAGCGCAGCCGTTACCGGGACAGCCTGACGCAGCCGTGAGTGACCAGGCCAGCCCCTGTGTGGTCCATACTTGCACCACATCCCCGGGCCGAGGTCTGGCCCCTTCGCCCTGGCAAAAGCTACTTATGCTGTCTTCCCTTGGCTGCACTCTGCCGAAATAAAAGTTCTGCCCTAAGGAATCTCCCGTGGTGTGGAGGAGTGAAGCAGGAAGGGGCATGGATTGGGCACCAGCTAACTTTTAGTGATACTGAGTTGCTGCCGTGGTCCTTAACAGGTACACGAATCGGCTCATTTCACAAAGTTTGAATTGTACCAGTGTGTATTGAGGGCCAGCTACGTGCTGAGCACCTTACTGGGGACATTCAAATACGTTTTCTTACTTAATCCACAGTGCTGTGAAGTTGGTTTTATAACTCCATTATGCATTAGTTCAATTTTGAGGTTGCCTTCCAGATAACATAGTGAGATGTCGTTGGGCAACTGGATATGCCTAGAGTTGAGAGAAGAGTTCTTGGCTAAATAAAAATTGGGAGTTTTAGGTATATGGATTATAATTGAAGTCTTGAAAATGGATGAGGTCGACTAAGGACAAGAGAAGGCTGAGCCTGGAGGAAATCCTCCAGTATGGGAGGAACTGCAAACAAAGGCTAAGAAAAAGGCATTAGAGAAGTAGTAGAAAAACAATCAGAAGATTATGGTGGTAACACAGAGGCCTAGGAAAGAGAATGCTTCAGTGAAGGAGTGGTCAACTGGGCCTAGCACTGCCCAGAGATCAATTACTACAAGCAATGAAACATGTTAGAATGTTCAATTGTGGCTTCAATATATGACAAAAAAGCAACTTATACCCCACTCAGAATCATTTCCCATAGAATAGTGTTGTTGGTGTAGGGCAATGTTTAGTTTCTTAGCTATAAAAATATACCATTTAAATAACTTTGAATGAAAATATCAACTGTGTTTTTGTATTTTTTACTAGCAATCATTCTGATCCCTGAAATCAATATTTTATTTTATTTATTTATCTATTTATTTTTTGAGACAAAGTCTCTCTCTGTCTCCCAGGCTGGAGTTCAGTAGCCTGATCTCAGCTCACGGCAACCTCTGCCTCCCGGGCTGAAACCATTCTCATGCCTCAGGCACCGGAGCAGCTGGGATTACAGGTGCAGGCCACCAGGTCTGGCTAATTTTGTATATTTAGTAGAGATGATGTTTCACCATGTTGGCCAGGCTGAAAAATTTTATTAACATTTTCGACAGTAACTTTAAAAAATACGTTTGGGTTTAAAGAACAATTAGAAAATTGACTTAATTTTTAAGCCTCTTTTTTTTATTACTGTAACTTTTCAATCTTTGAATCAAGCTTTTTTCAGTCCTTTAAAGAAGGCCCCTTTTCAAGTGGGCCATTTTCATATTTACTAAAGTCATACAGATTTACAATCTAAATCTAGCCCTGCCACTTACTAGCAAGGTGACCTTGGGCAGATTCCTGAGTCTGTTTCCCCTTCTGAAAAAGGAATCATAATTCCCAACTTGGCAGCTTATTGTGAATAATAAATAAATAATGTACATGAAGAACCTGGCATATAGTAAGCATTACATAAATTGTATCCATTTACCTCCTTATTTTATGGACCACACTAAAACAGAAATTTATTTTCTTAAAATATATTTATTTTAGTCTAGATCCTATTGAAAATGAGTTACTTTATAGATACCAATACTCTATTAAAATGGTTCTACAGAATTTTCTGTTTTACAGAGATGAAGAACCTATGCGTTATGGAAACATAATGTATGACAGAAGGGTAATTCGAGGCAACACTTATGCACTCCAGACAGGGCCACTGGTAAGTTAAGTTTGAATAGTCTAACACTGTGTTCTCACATTATCTGTGGGGAAGGATCAGTTTCTTTGTGTTAATTTCTAATCCATTGCAGGCTAAAACATTCATAAAATAAAGATGAATTACTATAAAAATGAAGTTTTAAAAAAGACGTACAAATGGAAGCCCAGTGAGTTTCCAGGAGCTGGGGGATGATGGGGCCAGGGAAGGAGTTATTGTTTAATGAGTGTAGAGTTTCAGTTTTGCAAGGGGAAAAGAGTTCCGGAGATAGAGGATGGTGACAGTGATAGAACAATGTGAATGTGATTAATACCACTGAATTTTATACTTAAAAATGGTTAAGGTGATAAATTTTACATTATGTGTATTTTACCACAAAAAAAGAATTAACTAAAAAAAAAAAAAAAGCCCCAATTTTTCATTAGATTCAACAGAACTCTGCCATTCTAAACATTTCTAGACTTTTACTCTCAATTTCTATACTTAAATTGTTACAGACCAGTTCAAATAGTTTATAGACACACTAGCCAGAGGCCCACGTTTTGAGTAGCCCTTGTTGATTGCATCTAGGTTTGTTTAGATTATCTCATACTCTAATACAATTATCATTATTTAATCAAAAAGTCTGAATTCTGCTTCTTTAATTCACTCAACAGATATTTATTGACTTTTAGGTCCTGTTATGGGTACCTAGGATACAGAGATGAGTAAGACATGGTATGATATTAAGGGTGGTGAGTTCTTGGCACAGAAATGAAATACAGGTGAATCTCTAAACTGTATATGACATATAAGTGCCTAATACAAGATGGTGATAGAGATGCTCCTCTACTTAGGATGAGGTTATGTCCCAATAAACTCACTGAACGTTAAAAATGGATTTAAAACACCAAACCTGCCAAACACACCATAGCATAGCATAGCCTACCTTAAATATGCTCAGAGGCCAAGTATGGTGGCTCACGCCTATAATCCCAGCACTTTGGGAGGCCAACGTGGGCAGATCGCTTGAGCCCAGGTGCTTGAGACCAGCCTGGGCAAAGTGATGAAACCCTGTCTCTACCAAAAAAAAAAAAAAAAAAACCCACAAAAATTAGCTGGGCATGGTGGCACGCACCTGCAGTCCCAACTACTTGCGATGCTGAGGCAGAAGGATTGATTGAACCCAGGAGGACAAGGCTGCAGTGAGCTGTGATCACACCACTGCACTCCAGCCTGGGTGACAGAGGGAAACCCTGTCTCAAAAAACAAAAACAAAAACACAACCTAGAATGTTAAGGAATTGAGGGAAGCTCAGTGTGCCTGAATCGGAGTCTGAGGCAGGGAGTATCAAGAAATAAGTGATTAAAAAGAAGTTAAAGATGAATAATAACATTCAGTCCACATTAGAGAGAATGTTGTTGAATGTCAAATGAGGCATGTGAAGAATCCACCTAAGGTATGTTCCCGGAATGAGACCCTGTCTCAAAAAAAGAAGTGCTCAGAATACTTACATTAGCCTACAGTTGGGAAAAATCATCTAACACAAAGTCTATTTTATAATAAAGTGTTGAATATCTCATATAATTTATTAAATATTAAAGTAAAAAATAGAATGGTTGTATGAGTATTCAAAGTACATTCTCTGTGGATACTTTTGTATTGTCATAAAGCTGAAAAGTCATAAACCACATAAGTTGGGGAACATCTATTAGTCTGAAGCAATGGTTAACTTATTAAACATATATATATATATATGTATGTATCTATGTATATACGCTTCAACCCTATCCTGGATCTCTTCCATTAGAACCTCCAGGGATTCCCTGCTTCTCCCACTGAGGTGGTATCAACAAGGGTGCAGCAGGAAGCTGGACTTTCACCTTCACCCAGTACCAGTGAGGTAGTAGGAGATGGCACAAGTCAGTGCCCCACTCTTTCTGGGGTGGTGCCAACAAATCCAATGGGTAGCTGAATTGCAGTCCTATCTGGCAGTAACAAGGTGGTATGAGGCAGTACTCGTCAATGCTGCACTCTCCAGACACCACCACCAGTGTCAACAGAGCCTAGAAAGGAGCTGAACTACCACCCCCGCCTGGCACCTATGTGTTGGTACAGGTTGACCCTCTGCTTTTGTTGAGGTGGTGACAGTGGGGCCCAGCAGGAAGTTGAACTTCTGACCCCACGCAGGCTTGTTCACTAAACAAAAAGGGTGACTTTCTACTGAAAAATTAAATAGGATCCAAAGTCTTAAAATATAATACCCAAAATAGCCAGGATACAAACCAAAATCACTCATACAAGAATCAGGACAGTCACAACATGCACAAGAAAAGACAATCAAGAAATGACAAAACCAAGATGACTCAGATGTGGGAATTACCTGACAAGGATTTTAAAGCAACAAACATGTTTCAATGAAAAGTGGACAATTGTAGACACTCTTGAAACAAAAAAAAATCTTAGCAAAGAAATACAAGATAAAGTGAACCAAATGGAAACTTATAGAACTGAAAAATACAATAACTAAAATAAAAAACTCACTGGATGGACTCAGTAGTACATTGGAAATGACACAGGAAACAATCAGTGAACTTGAAGAAAAATCAATGAAGAATGGAAGTTATCCAGCTGAACAGAGAGAAAATAGACCAAATAAATAAATAAAAAGCCTGAGAGAGCTGAAGAACAATCACAAAGATTTATATTCATGTTGTTGGAATCCTAGAAGGAGAGGAGGAAAACTAGGAGATAGAAATCTTGAATCTGTAGGCAAAAGGCCTACAGATCCAAGAAACCAAGTGACTCCCCCGAAGAGGATAAACCCAGACAAATCTACCTGAGACAAATCAAGATCTAACTTTTGAAAATTAAAAACAAAACATTTTGAAATCAGCCAGAAAGAAATTACGCATTAGCTAAAGGAGATCGATGATTTAAATGGCAGTGGATTTCTTACCTAAAACATGGAGACAAGAAAGTGGCACAATATTTTCCAAGTCCTTAAAGGAAAGAACTATCAAACTCTAATTCTAATCCAGTGAAAATATTTTTCAGGAGTTCCAACATGGCAGCATAGAAGCAGGCTGGCTTCACTCCCCCTGCAAAAGAAAATCAAGAACAATTGTACAGTGCCGAGATTACCACCAGCAATATTCTAGAGGTCAAGTAGAAGGAGGAGGCACTTCCCAGGACTACAGAAAAGTGAAAAAGCTCCAAGGAGATGGTAGGAGAATCAGATCTTCATGTCTACAGTATCTCTCCTAGTCTGCCTGGCACTAAGGATGTGGAGGATTGTATTAGGGTTCTCTAGAGGGACAGAACTAATGGAACAGATATATATATATGCAGTAGAATTTATTAAGTATTAACTCACACAATCACAAGGTCCTGCAATAGGCCATCTGCAGGCTGAGGAGCAAGGAGAGCTAGTCCAGGTTCCAAAACTGAAGAACTTGGAGTTCAATGATCAAGGGCAGAAAGCATCCAGCACAGGAGAAAGATGTAGGCTGGGAGGCTAGGCCAGTCTCTCTTTTCACATTTTTCTGCCTGCTTATATTCTAGCCACTCTGGCAGCTGATTAGATTGTGCCTACCCAGGTTAAGAGTGGGTCTGCCTTTCCAAGCCTACTGACTCAGATGATAGTCTCTTTTGGCAACACCCTGAGACACACGTAGGATCAGTACTTGGTATCCTTCAATCCAGTCCAAAGTTGACACTCAGTATTAACCATCACAAGGATTTATCTCTGACTTGTGATTTCTGCACTGGAAAAAGATCAAGGTGGACAACTAGTTTCCCTACCATGTTGGGTTCCCTGGCAGAAAATTCAACCCACAAGAAGCATCATGAGTTCCTGAAGAGAAATACCCCTGAGTACAGCCAAAGACAAAATGGGGAGGTGAGACTACCATCCCCAGCCCTGGACACTCCGCTGTATAACTCAACCAAAGGAAACACCAAATGAGAGTGGCTGCTCAGCAGCACCACACTGTAGGAGATAACATTGTACCGGTCCCCTGGGCACAGACCCCTAGCCAGTCCCACTACCAGTGTATCCCCTTTGGGACCTCCCACATTCAGGATGGGCAGTGCTCTGATCATTTACTAGAGCCAGGTGAACCTGGTCTTAAGGCACCACCTAGAGCCAAAAAGGAGGCAGCAATCTAGTGATAAAGGATCTCTGGCAGGGCACAGTGTCTCATGCCTGTAATCCCAGCACTTTGGGAGGCCGAGGCAGGCAGATCGCTTGAGGTCATTAGTTCGAGACCAACCTGACCAATATGATGAAACCCCATGTCTACTAAAAATACAAAAATTAGCCAGATGTGGTGGCAGGTACCTGTAATCCCAGCTACTTGAGAGGCTGAGTCAGGAGAACTGCTTGAACCCAGGAGGCAGAGGTTGCAGTGAGCCAAGATCACACCAGTGCATTCCAGCCAGGGTGACAGAGTGAGACTCTGTCTCAAAAAAGGGGGGGGAAAAAAAAGGATTTCTAAGAAAATATATCCAATAAAAAGCAAAAACAAGCCAGACAGAGAAGACTGGACTAAATAATCCTTCAGTGCAGAGACATAGACATACATCCACATGAAACAACAGCAAACGAGGAACCACGACCTACCTACCTGAAGGGACAAAGCAAAGAATCAGTAACTGGCACTAATGAGATGGCAGGATGTGAGCTCTGTGACCAAAAATTCAAAATAGCAGTCTTAAGGAAATTTGGTGACATCTAAGATAACACAGAAAAGCAATTTAGAAATTTGTTAGAGAAATTTAACAAGGAAATTGAAATAATTTTTAAAAATCAAGCAGAAATCTTGGAGCTGAGTAATACATTTGTTGAACTGAAAAATGTATTAGAGGCTTTCAACAACAGAATGAATCAAGCAGAGGAAAGAATCAGTGAACATGAAGACAAAGACAGACTATTTGAAAATAAACAGTCTGAGGAGAGAAAAGAATGAGAAAAAACAAAGACTGCTTACAAGATATAGAAAATTACCCCAAAAGATCAAAGCTAAGAATTACCTGTGTTCAAGAGGGAATTGAGTAAGAGTAAGGAGTAGTAAGCTTGTTTTAAGAAATACTAACAGAAAACTTTCCAAAACTTGAGAAAGAGATAGATATCCAGGTACAGGAAGGTCAGAGAATACCAAACTGTTTCACCCCAAATAATACCCCATAGAATAATCAAGCTCTCAAAGGTCAAGGACAAAAAAAGAATCCCAAAAGCAGCAAGAGAAAAGAAGCAAATAACATACATGAAGCATCTCCAATCCATCTGGCAGCAGACTTCTCAATGGAAACTGTACAGGCCAGGAGGGAGTGAGATGACCAGGAGGGACTGGGGTGACATTTTCAAAGTGCTGAAAGAAAAAAAATCATCTAAGAATATTGTGTCCACAAAATTATCCCTCAAAAATGAAGGAGAGATGGTCTTTCCTAGACAAATAAGAGCTGAGCAAATTCAGCACCACCACGCTCATCTTACAAGAAACATTAAAGGAAATTCTTCAGCCTGAACAACAACAAAAAAAAACACTAATGTGCCAAAAGAAAACATTTGAAGGTATGAAACTTACTGGGTCAATTAAGTACATAGACAAACCTAGAATACTCTCATACTATAACTGTAGTATGCAATCCACTCATAATTCTACTATGAGGCCCAAAAGACAACTATCAAAAACAGTAATAGCTGCAGCAACCTGTTAAGAGGTAGGTAATCATGCCACTGCACTCCAGCCTGGGCGACAGTGCAGACTTGGTCTCAAAAAAAAAAAAAACAAAAAAAAACGTGCAATGAGGCAACTGAAAGTTAGTATGTGGGGGAATGGAGTTAAAGTATAGAATATTTTTTCTTTGCTTCTGTTCTTTGTGATCTAAGATAAGTCTCTGCAAACAACTTGCTATATCTATGTTTTTTGTAAGCCTCATGGTAACCACAATGCAAAAATCTGTAGTGGATTCACCAAAAATTAAAAGCAACAAACTAAAATATACTACCAGATAATGTCACTTAACAAAAAGACAGACAATAAAGAAGGAAGGAGATACAAAACAACCAGAAAATAAGCAACAAAATGGTAGTAGGAAGTCCTTGCTTTATCAATAATAACACTGAATGTATGAGGACTTGGTTCTCCAATTAAAAGGCATAGAATAGCTGATTGGATAAAGAAACGAGACCCAACTGTATGCTCCTACAAGAAACCCACTTCACCTACAGAGACACACATAGACTGAAAGTAAAGGGATGGAAAAAGATTTTCCATGCAACTAGAAACCAAAAAAGAACATGAGTATACTTACATCAGATAAACTACAAGTCAAAGACTGTAAAAAGAAATATAGTCACTCTGTAATCATAAAGTGATCCATTCAGCCAGAGGATGTAACAATGATAAATATGCACCCAACACCAGAGCTCCCAATTATGTAAAGCAAACATGAATGGATCTAAAGGGAGAAATAGACTGCAATGCAATAATAGTAGGAGATTTCAACAACCCATTCTCAGTAATGAATAGATAATCCAAACAGAAAGGAAAAAAAAGAGAAAGAAAGAAAAGAAAATTGGTGTTAAACTTCACACTAGACCTATTAGGACTAACTGATATCTATAGAACATTTTATCCATCCTCTGCAGAGGACACATTTTTTTCTTCAGCACATGGATCATTCTTCAGAATAGACCATATCTTAGGCCACAAAACATGTCTGCACAAATTCAAAAAAGTAGAAATTCTATCAAGTATCTTTGCTGATCACAATGAAGTAAAACTAGAAATCAATAATAAGAGGAACCTTGGAAGCTACAAAAATACATGGAAATTAAACAGCATGCTCCTGAATGATCAGCAGGTCAACAAATGAATTAAAAAGGAAATGTTTTTATTATTTTTGTAAATATATAGATAGGATTGTGCACCCATGTATACCAGTTAACAGCCATACTTTGAAGTTACTTTTATGCTTTGTCAAACATCTTTGTAATTATCTGACAAAATACTAATGCAATTTTAATGAAGTTACTGATAATCAGGAAACGTTGTGATAAATGCCTTTATACTACCCAGGAACTGCTTTTGGAATGGCAGTTCTTGTATGCTTTAATAAATATTTTCTAAATTCTAGAAGTATTTTCTATCACTGTTAGCTCGGACAGCCTGATTCTCTAGAGCTTCAGAGACAACGGGAGGCTAAGAAGAGGGCTCTTGCCAGAAAACAAGCCCAAGAGCAGCTCAGACCACAAACACCTGAACCTGTGGAAGGCAGAAAGCATGTCGATGTGCAAACAGGTGTGTGACTGTGCCCTTAGCATTGTGTCCTCTTGGTTTACTCAGTTGTCTGTCAGTTCATTTGTGTTTGGCCTTTGTATTATTTATGCCTCTCCTGTGCTGATACTTCCCCAGTAACATGGTAGGGAAGTTCATTTATTAAAGAAATACATAGACTAGGTTGGGTGTGCTGGCTCACACCTGTAATCCCAGCACTTGGGGAGACTGAGGCGGGCAGATCGCCTGAGGTCAGGAGTTTGAAACCAGCCTGGCCAATGTGGTGAAATACCCCGTCTCTACTAAATATACAAAAAATTAGCTGGGCATGGTGGTAGTCACCTGTAATCCCAGCTACTTGGGAGGCTGAGGCAGGAGAATCACTTGAACCCGGGAGGTGGAGGTTGCAGTGAGCCGAGATTGCACTGTTGCACTCCAGCCTGGGCGACAAGAGCTAAAGTCCATCTCAAAAAAAAAAAAAAAAAAAAAGAGAAAGAAATACATAGACTGTATACTATTATCTTAGTAGATATGACTGGAAGTATGGGATGGGGTTCAAAAAAAAAAAAAAAAAGAATTTTGGCCAAGCGTAGTGGCTCACATCTGTAATCCCAGCACTTTGGGAGGCAAGGCAGGAGGATCACTTGAGCCCACGGGTTCGAGACCAGCCAGGACAACATACCAAGACCCCATCTCTACAAAAACATTTTAAGATTGGTCGAGCATGGTGGTATATGCCTGTAATTCCAACTACCCAGTAGGCTAAAGCAGGAGGATTATATGTGCCCAGGATTTCAAGGCTGCAGTAAGCTATGATCACACCACTGCACTCAGCCTGGGCAACAAATAAATAAATAAAAGAATTTTGTGACCAAACAAATTCTGTCTTAGGATCCCTTCTCCACATATTCTGTTCTCAAACTGGGATTCTTTCTCGTAGCCCAACATGAATCACTGTTCTTTTCATTAGGACTTATAGGAAAGGAGAGCAATATAATTCTATTTTATCATTTTGTCTTTTGAGAGGAATAAACCCACTCCCATCTGAGTCATCTGCCTCTCACACCAGCCTCCTCTGTCCTCCGGTTCTGTCGCTGTGCACATTCCCCAGGGCCACACAGGCACCTCTGAGGCAGGTGTCAGGATTTGCGTGCTTGTCTTGCTGTCCTCAGCTGTAGAGGTTTACCTGGTCCTATAGGGTCTAGCTGTATTGTTGACAGAATCTTGGTCATCAGACAGTGCTTGGTGTTTTCCTTGGACCACTGTCACTACTTAAGGTTCACTTTGTACCCTTCCAAGATGGTGAGTGTATCCATCAGGATTATTTCTGCATGGTAAAGGCAAAAGGGACCATTCCATGCTTTAACACTTGCCTTTACGCCAAGTCTAGAATGTGTGTATGGCTGTCATTAGCCAAAGAGCTAAGTTTTCATGTTTATACCATCAGAATATTAAGTGATATAATAGCAACCAGCTATTATATAACCAGGAAATATATGGATATTTCCTCAGAGACTGAACCAGGTCCTTTATCTGTGTATTTCCTTCATTATTACAAAGATTCTGTGTGACGGGTAGTTATAGCCCATTTTCCAGATGAAGAAACTGAGGCCCAGGGAGGACATGACTTGGCCAAGTCCTGTGCCCAACATCTGACTCTAGTGCTCATGTTCTTTGCTTGATACCACGTTACCCCTGCCTCATATAAATTACCCCTAACATGAAATTTGTTTTCATCCATCTGTTTATAATGTGTAGTGTAGAGGGAACATCAAATAACCTGGTGACTTGGTACATGATTTTTTTAAATATCCAGGAATTTTCAAATCTTTATATGTTTACTGTCTTAGAACTCAAATATATATGTGTTATTACTGACTTTTTATCCACTGTTGTACTCTGCATCTTATACACATCTACGGTCTCATGTTCGTCTTCAGTTCCATTTTCAAATACAAAGCTCAGTGCTTTCTAGACATTCAGTAAATGTTCTAGCCTGACTAACTCTATCTGTGGTCTTCCAAATATTTAAAAACTCTTAGTTCAGTATGTGAAGTAAGCCCCATATTTGAACACTTTTATTCTAATACTTATTTTCTGATTCATTTAAATATGTTTTGAAGGAGCTAAAATTTCAAATACGCATATATGCTTGAAATAGACCAGAACTTTTTTTCTTAGAGACAGAGTCTCACTGTGTTGCCCAGGCTGCAATACGGTGACATGATCTTGGATCACTGCAACCTCCACCTCCCAGGTTCAAGCAATTCTCCCACCTCAGCCTCCCAAGTGACTGGGACCACAGGTATGCACCACCACACCGAGCTAATTTTTGTATTTTTTGTAGACATGGGGTTTCGCCATGTTGGACAGGCTGGTCTCAAACTCCTGGCCTCAAGTAATGCACCCTCCTCGGCCTCCTAAAGTGCTGGGATTATGGGCATAAACTACTGTGCCTGGCCTTAGACCAGAATTTTAAACTCAATGTATATGATGATTCTTCTTAGAATTATACCTTGAAGAAATTGCTGATCGCATAATAGAAGTTGATATGGAATGCCAAACAGATGCATTTTTGGACAGACCACCAACACCACTCTTTATTCCTGCCAAAACTGGCAAAGATGTGGCCACCCAGATACTAGAAGGAGAGGTACAGTATATCCTGTGGGTTCCCTCTATAATCTTTATAAGTGAGGTAAAGTTAGGTGTAGATAATGCTTAATATGAACAAGAGCCACTTCACAATCAGATTCTACTTCTTGGATTTCTTTCCAGATATTATCTGTAATGGTTTTATCATATAGTACTCAGAAATGTTTTAAAATACCATGTTCTGATTTCTTTGCCAATTAAAAACAAAATCATTTAAAATATTTTTAGAATATTTCCACATTTGATTTTTGTTTGTTTATATGCTTGCTTAATGTATGTATATAAGATAGATTTGTACTAAATAAGGAAAAATAATATCCCTGGTATAAAAGATTCCACAATTAGTTGCTTGTGGATTATATAACTTTTGTAAAGAAACTCTCTCATTTAAAAAAAATTTTTTTTTTTTTTTTTTTTTGAATGGAGTCTGGCCTCTGTCACCCAGGCTGGTTTTTTTTTTTTTTTTTGAGATGTCACCCAGGCTGGAGTGCAGTGGCCGGATCTCTGCTCACCGCAAGCTCCTCCTCCCGGGTTTACGCCATTCTCCTGCCTCAGCCTCCGGAGTAGCTGGGACTACAGGCGCCCGCCACCTCGCCCGGCTAGTTTTTTGTACTTTTTAGTAGAGACGGGGTTTCACCGTGTTAGCCAGGATGCTCTCGATCTCCTGACCTCGTGATCCGTCCGTCTCGGCCTCCCAAAGTGCTGGGATTACAGGCTTGAGCCACCGCGCCCGGCTAAAAAAAAATTTAATAATTACATTTTTCTATCAGTGTGGAATGCATAAATGGGCCTGTTTATGAAATTAAGAAGAGAAGGCAATGATTATGTTCATAATGACCTAAATGAGTTTTAACACTTGGGGGAAATTGAAAGAACTGTCATTGAAATTGGGAAATAAAATAAATCTTCAGAAGCTATCTGAAAGTTATATTTGCCTAGAAATCCTAGCAATGAATCACCAAAATATCTATTATTCTTATTCGTTCGTTCATCAAACTGTTATTTAAAAATAAATAAAAATCAACGGCCGGGTGCGGTGGCTCAAGCCTGTAATCCCAGCACTTTGGGAGGCCGAGACGGGCGGATCACAAGGTCAGGAGATCGAGACCATCCTGGCTAACATGGTGAAACCCTGTCTCTACTAAAAAATACAAAAAAAACTAGCCAGGCGAGGTGGCGGGCGCCTGTAGTCCCAGCTACTCGGGAGGCCGAGGCAGGAGAATGGCGTGAACCCGGGAGGCGGAGCTTGCAGTGAGCTGAGATCCGGATACTGCACTCCAGCCTGGGCGACAGAGCAAGACTCCGTCTCAAAAATAAATAAATAAATAAATAAATAAATAAATAAATAAATAAATAAATATCAAACAGAGAAGGCAAAGAATAAGACAGACAAGGATATTCCTCTTCAGTGTCAGGGTTCATTTTGATGAATGGATACATTTTTTTCATAACTTTGACTTAACAGATTTTTGCCTATAAACAAAATGTTGTTGATTTTGAGGATTAGGAACCATAAATAAAGCACCAGCACAGTGTCTGGCACACAGGAGACACTTAATAAGTGATATCTTGTTATTGCTATTCATTATATTTTTGTTGAGCATTCGATTCGTAATTAAAATTTTAAGTTTGCTTTCTTTTGTATGTTTAAGCTCTTTGACTTTGATCTTGAAGTTAAACCAGTGTTAGAAGTTTTGGTGGGGAAGATAATTGAGCAGTCTCTTCTGGAAGTAATGGAAGAAGAAGAGCTGGCTAACCTGCGGGCCAGTCAGCGTGAGTATGAAGAACTACGGAATAGTGAACGTGCTGAAGTTCAACGACTTGAAGAGCAAGAGAGGCGACACCGAGAAGAAAAAGTATATATAATTGTATTTTTCTTTCTTAGGCAGTCTTTTGGCTAGTTAGCATATTATGTTCAAAATTACATGTGATGATATATCATAAAACTAAAGATCCTTGGGAATATATTAGAAAAAGATCTATAATATTTTTGCTCAGGTCCCTTCTATAGATCAGAGATCTTTCGTGGACTGAATTCCATCTTTTAAACTCCAGCTTACATAAATATACCTAACGTGAGTTTCCAAAAGTTTCTAAATAAAGTGAAAGTTCCTAGGTTACATGTGTCCCAGTTGAAGACTCTTAAATATCAGCAGTGCTAAAGAAAGAAAGACGTATGTTGGTTTGCCGTAAGTTAGTGGCAGAAAGATGGAAGGAAGGAAAAAGTGAGTGTATTGGAGAGAGACCGTGGGTAAGAAGCAGGGCATCTGGATAGAATTCTGATTCTTTTTTTCGGTGACCAGGCCCTCCTTTATACCCTTAGTGACACACCAGACTGATTTGGGTTCTTATAGAATATTTTTCAGATTCAGGATTTTTAGAATCTTCAATAAGGAAAGGTTTACAATCCAGTTTTTTTAATGTGCCAGTAGCCTACAGTTAGGAAGCACTAGAATAGATAGTCTTTCTGGTTCTGGCAATAACTGTCAGCCTTTGTTGTATACTGATGAACAATTATAAAGTAGTATCTTAATATCTGAAACAGTTCAGAAAAAATTCCCAAGGGGCCTAACTTACTATGCTATGAAAAATAGCGTAATTGTTGGGAAATCCTACTCAATACCTATCAAATGGACTTTAATTCCAAGATGAATACTTAGTTGTGTAAAGAGCATAGGGCTTACAATAAGGATTGTGCAAAAGTAAGACTTTATTTACAAATATAAAATAAATTGTGACAAAATAAACTTTGTTGAAATGAGTCATAAAATCTTTACCAAAAAATATTTGTTTATTCACTATTTGGAAATATGTTATGGAAAACTGGATACAGGAATCACCTAGATTTATATTTGTTTAGAGTTTAAATATAGATTTAATTAGAAAAGATATTAATGCTCCCACTTCCACATGAGAGTAGAGAACAGGGTTCATCAGCTTTATAAATATTACATGGTCTAAAGGAAGCAACAGCAAAAAATAAGAGGCTTTCATAATCTTCAGAACCATTCAGCTTTACAAATTCAGGGAATTGTTACAAATGAACTCATTCACTGGCCCACTGGTAATTTTTCTTACCAGTAATATTTCATGATAATATTATTTTAAAATACATATAGTGGTGATTATCTTTTTGCTACCATCTATACTGTCAAGCATGTATGTCTTGAAATTATTTTACTTGAAATGAATAGTGAGATTTTTACCTTAAATTCCATCTTTTATAACTTCCTGAATTCAGTACCCACTAGCTGTTGAAATTTGTTAAAATTTTGATGAAAAATATGGACCTTTAATAGATAAACACCTCGCTGCCCATTTTTTGATAAATCTGCATTCTCTACTTATTAACTTCACTAGATTCAGTACTTGGGGAGGGCATAAGAGCTAAATAACCACCTATGTTGTTTTGGCAGGAACGGCGTAAGAAACAGCAGTGGGAAATGGTGCACAAGCACAATGAGACATCACAAAAAATCGCCGCCCGAGCATTTGCACAGCGTTACCTGGCTGACCTTCTCCCGTCTGTTTTTGGCAGCCTCAGGGATAGTGGCTACTTTTATGATCCCATTGAAAGAGGTTTGTAGATATTTTTGTTAGATTAATTCTGTTGTAATAAGCATCCTCTTAATGGTTCAAATTTATGTTGTGTCCATTTTTATTTTGAATTGGAATCTTTCTATTTCTAATACAAAGTCTATTTTAGTTGTTCAAAGTAAGTACAGTTGTTAATGAGATGTGTATTTTGAAGATCTTGATTTAAGGATATTAGTGTTTGTTTATTGAGAAGCAACATTTGTATAGTAGAAAGAAATATGGACTTGGTATTGAAAACTTGAGTTTGGGTTGCAGCTTTATCATTAGCTAGCTTGATGACCTCCAGTTTCTCCATGTGTGAAATGAGGATTTTTTTTTTTTTTTTTTTTTGAGACGGATTCTCACTCTTTTGTCCAGGCTGGAGTACAGTGGCGCGATCTTGGCTCACTGCAACCTCCGCCTCCCAAGTTCAAGCAATTCTCCCTGCCTCGGCCTCCCGAGTAGCTGGGATTACAGGCACCTGCTACCACGCCCAGCTAATTTTTGTGTTTTTTAGTAGAGACAGGGTTTCGCCATGTTGACCAGGCTAGTCCTGACCTCACGTGATCTGCTTGCCTTGGCCTCCCAAAGGGCTGGGATTATAGGCGTGAGCCACTGTGCCCAACCTGAAATGAGGATTATTTAGGAGTTAAGTCATAAGATATATGAAACGTGTAAAATGTAAAGTCCTATGTGTGCGTAAGTAGTTGTTATTAACTTTTTCTCAGTTGACTTATTCCAATCAAAAACCCTTTGAGGGCAACTATCAAGGTCATTTATTCGTTTAATTAGGCTCTTACCCTGTTCCAGGCGATGTTTGGTATTGGAGAAAAAGAAGGATCCCTGATCTCTGCCATTAGGGAACCAATAGCCTGATAGCTGTCTGTCTGTATCCCCTCAAAGTCCGCGGTCCTAGCTGCTCAGCCAGTGGAAAGGAAGAGTTGCATGTCCTCACCACCGCCCACCTTCCTCAGGGTGAAAAGCACGTACATCCACCGTGCTTGGTGTACAGCTCCTATTTTGTTGGGCAGTAGTATTTTGGGACACATGTTAGTAATGTTAATTTTCACTGATTACATATTCAATTCAATACAAAGAGGTGGGATCACAGACAAATATTATTAATATACATAGTATTTTTCATAGGTGATATCATTTGATACTCCCAATAACCCTGTAGGACAGGCAGGTCAGATAGAATTCCCGTTTTTTCGGAAATAGAAACTGAAGCTCAGAGAAGTTGAATGCCTTGCTCCCAACTCCTCAGGCAGTGGAAGTATTAGGCCTCAAACTGGCTTGGAACTCAGACTCCAAGTCCAGTGTTCATTCTCGGCTACCATCCTGCTGTCCTGGGCTCTAGCTTGGACTCTGTTAGCCAAAGAGACCAGTAGCCTTTTTTCTATCACTGATTGCCAAAAAAGTAAGTTATAGATCATATAAAAGCTTGCAAATGAAATTCATACCTGAGATTAAAATTATTTATAGTAGTGAATATAATATTCTGTCACACTCTCCATTTCATCCTATTAAAAAATAAAATTAGATGCCTGCCCCAAAAAATGCTATTTTGAAACTTTAAAATGTATATTGTAATAGATCATATTTTTAAAATGCTTACACAGTGGATTTCAGTTTGAACAAACTTAATACTGATGGAAACACCTAGTTTCTGACCTATTTCTAGATGGCTGCCTCCTCAAATGCCCTCTCACCTGCATTCTCTGAGTCTGATCAGCTTCCTTCCATTAGGCCCTGGGCTTCAGGTGGAGACTTTCTTTTACTGGCATTGCTCAATTCCAGATTTGCATTGCATTTGGATTGGAGTTCTCCCAAACCCACATCCTCCCCCTGCCTCCCTGATCCATCTCAGATTGCACCTATGAAGGAACCTCCAAATGCCTTGACTCCAAAGAAGGCCTCATAGTTCTTAAAATATTGGGACAGGTGCGGTGGCTCACACCTGTAATCCTAGCACTTTGGGAGGCCAAGGCAAGTGGGTCACGAGGTCAGGAGATTGAGACCATCCTGGCCAACATGGTGAAACCCCGTCTCTACTAAAAATACAAAAATTCGCCAGGCGTAGTGGCGTGCGCCTGTAGTCCCAGCTACTCAGAAGGCTGAGGCAGAGGAATCACTTGAACCCGGGAAGCAGAGGTTGCAGTAAGCGGAGATCGTGCCACTGCACTCCAGCCTGGGCGACAGAGCGAGACTCTCTCAAAAAAAACAAAAATCACTTATGCAACAGAAAGGAAACTGACCAGAACATATATAAGGAATATGGCAAGTTATGCTGTATGAGTCTACTTAACATTTTATATTAAGAAACTAATGTTGATGAGTCTATTACATTAGGAGAAAAGCACATTATTCCTCTGATGATACATAAAAATCAATGAATTCTTTTATTACAGATATTGAGATAGGATTTCTTCCATGGCTAATGAATGAAGTTGAAAAAACCATGGAATATAGCATGGTGGGAAGAACAGTGCTTGACAGTAAGTTATTTTATCCAAAAATTCATCTCTAAAATTTTTAGTAGAAAGAATAAATTGAATAATTGAAAGATTAATTTCACAGTTCTAATACTTAAACTTTTAGTATATCAATTGTATTAATAGAAGTGCAAATTTCTACCCTCAATATTATTTTTGGCTCGTTTATAATTTGATATCTATTAATATCTTCTGTCTTTACTTCATAAATGATATTCTGTTAAAACAGTATAATTTATATTTAATGCATTAAGTGTGAAGTTAAGTATGCTGACTTCAAAAAAAAGGTTATGACATAGGAAAGGGATGAGGCTTCGTGAAGGTTTTGTAATCATCTATAAGTCAGCACTATAACTCCTAAAATATACCATAATATGAAAATCATAATGATGTCTGGACACTTAACTTTTCAGTGTTGATCCGTGAAGTGGTTGAAAAGAGACTGTATATGTATGAGCATAAGGAAGAAACACATCGGTCTCCAGAACCAGAGGATGAGCCTGGTGGTCCTGGAGCAGTGACAGAGTCACTGGAGGCCTCTGAATTCCCGGAGCAGAGCATGTCACAGACGCAGGGGCTGCTTTTAGATGGAGACTATGTACAAAGAACAACATATGACAGAAGGTCATCCCAGGAAAGGAAGTTTTTGGAAGAGACAGAGCTATTAGAGCAGGATGAAGAATCAGCAATGAGGAAGTCCTTAGAGGAGGAAGAATTGTCATAGGAGGGGAGCTTCGAAGTCATGAAACCAATCAACAGCCAAGTCAGCAAGCAATCAGGTAATGATGCGCGAGTCCCCTCAGGTTGTAGAAATTATGTTGTATTTAGTCAATATGTCTTTTTGTCTAATGGACTGGGCCAATCAAATGTGATAAAATAAAACTAATTTGAAAATAAAACTAATTGAATTCATTTATTTAATAGAATATTCAAAGGCTACATTGTAATTCTAATGAGAATTGTATTTAATTACTAGCTTTCTATTACCATTATATGTAACCAGCAAATATATTTTTCCTTAGTCCTTCTAATTTTACGGGTTAGTTTTTTTTAGTACGTATGATATTTAATGTTCAATATCAGTGCTGTCAGCCATTTAGCTTTTCTTCTCTATAGGAAAACTATTTCACCTACTATAAGAGAATGCCTAGCCAGGCGTGGTGACTCACACCTGTAATCCCAGCACTTTGGGAGGCTGAGGCGGGCAGATCACCTGAGGTCGGGAGTTTGAGACCAGCCTGACCAACAAGGAGAAACTCCATCTCTGCTAAAAATACAAAATTAGCTGGGCGTGGTGGCGTGTGCCTGTAATCCCAGCTACTCGGGAGGCTGAGGCAGGAGAATCGCTTGAACCTGGGGCGGAGGTTATGGTGAGCTGAGTTTGCACCATTGCACTGCAGCTTGGGCGACAAGAGAAAAACTCTGTCTCCAAACAAAAAGAAGAGAGGATGCCTAAACGTTGTGCTACTGAACGCTGCAGTGCTCCCTTCCTGCAAGGACCAGCTTCAATATTCAAGTAAGGCTTAAGGAATTCAGTGGATTAGTAATATGCTCTCATCTATTTTTTCACATTCCTGCTATTAAAAAATTTCAGGCAATGCCAATAAAGCAAAAATCTCTGTTTGCCCTTACACAGTCTCACTCCCCTCCTCGAAGGCAGATCACTGTTACCAGTTAGGTATGAACCATCTAGGCCTTTTCTGAGATACTCCTATACAAATGTATTTGAAAATCTAGAAATATATAGCTTGATTTTCTTTATATAAATATAAACATTATTTGCATATTTTATTTTTCACTTAAGAGAATGTCTTAGATCTTTCAAGGTTAGCAGGCATCCATCTCTTATCTTTTTAAAATATGGTTAAGGTATTACATATTATGACTGTGCTGTAGCATAGCGAATTAACATTTGACTTTTTAATCTGAATGTGTTAGAGAATTTACCTGCAGTATTAAAATCACAGATTATTTTCTCTCCAAAGCCTTGCTAATCGTAAGCAGTAACTGAAGTCTTCGGAGCCTTTAGATAGATAGAGCCTATTTTTCTTTTTACTTATTTTTATTTTTTTGAGACAAGGTCTCACTCTGACACCCAGGCTGGTGTGCAGCAGCACCATCACAGCTCACTGCAGCCTTGACCCCCAAGCTCAGGTGATCTTCTCACCTCAGCCTTCCAGGTAGCTGGGACTACAGGCTTGCACCACCACGTATGGCTAGTTATTGTATTTTTTGTAGAGATGGGCTCTTGCTGTGTTGCCCAGGCTGGTCTCCAACTCTTGGGCTCAAGTGATCTGCCCGCCTTGGGCTCCCAAAGTGCTAGGATTACAGGCATGAGCCACCGCACCTGGCTGAGTCTGTTTTTCTCAGAATACTTATATAAAAGTAGTGATTTAAAATAACTTATAATTATTAACCCATTTACCTTAATTTATTTTAAGTTAGGTACCAAGAATGTATCCACATTTAAAAACTTTTAAAAAGAATGCACCCGTTTTCCCATGTGGTATTTCACTATAACATTTAAGCCTCATGGCAACCTTCTGAAGCTTGCATGACAATATTTGTATTTTTTAGTTTCTAATCCTTAATTCGATCAGCCAGCAAACATTAGCTGAGTGCCCGCTCTGCCTTGGGAATGAGGCTGCAGATACAGCAGTGAACAGTCATGAATACTTCATGTTTTTTACAGCCTAGCAGTGGAGCTAAATGAAGTAAATGATGTAAATAAAGAAACCAAAGCTCAGGGATTTTAAGTGATTTGCAATAGGTGACAAGCCTAGTAGGGAGTAGAACTAAAGCTGGAACCCAAATCTCCTTACTTCTAATATAGTATACTTTCTTCTAATAACTTGCTGTCTTTGTGAGGTACAAAGAATAATTTAAAATAAATTATTGCATTAAAAGCATTTAAAACATTAGAGTCACACCTGTTATCCATCACAGGGCTAGTTCCATCTTGTTAAACAGTCTTTATGATCACCCAAAAATTTATAAGGTATTAATTTTGACAAGAAGACCAAAAATTTTTAATTAGGGCTATTGCTGATTATTATTGTTATTACCAATTTAAAAATATCTGTAACTAGTTTTTAGAAACCTTAAAATTGGGCCGGGCACGGTGGCTTACGCCTGTAATCCCAGCACTTTGAGAGGCTGAGGTGGGCGGATCACAAGGTCAGGAGATCAAGACCATCATGGCCAACATGGTGAAACCCTGTCTCTACTAAAAATACAAAAGTTAGCCAGGCGTGGTGGCAGGCATCTGTAGTCCCAGCTACTCGGGAGGCTGAGGCAGGAGAATCACTTGAACCCAGTAGGTGGAGGTTGCAGTTAGTCGAGATCACGTCACTGCACTCCATCCTGGGAGACAGAGCGAGACTCCTTCTCAAAAAAAAAAAAAAAAAAAAACTTTAAAATTGATTTGAGACGGATTATCTTTCATAATCCTCTAATTCCCCTTTAGAATGATCCAGTCCATTAAACACTTTGCAGATGCCAGACCTATGCTCTATAAATCCATAAATTAATTCAATGTATTAAAAGAAGTAGATATCTATAAACCCCACACTGAATGGGTTAAGCTTAATTGCAATCCTAGTCCATCCTAGAGAGAAACCAAAATAATTGAGAGGTTAGGGCATTGTCGCTGTGAGAAAGCTTGGAGATAACACATTATATGTTATCTGGAGAAAAGAATGTTAAATGGAAACAAAGTTTATGAAGAATTTCTTCAAGTACCTGAAGGATTTTATGGGAAATATAAGATAGCATACTTAGGTTCCATATGTCTAGATGACTTTTCATAACTAAGCAACTTTTGCAAATGGTTTGGGAACATAAAACTCTTCCAGGATGGAAGAAAATGGGTACCATTAACATTTGGATAGTTATGGGACCATCATAACATATGCAAAATGCTAGTTCCCCAACTATGACCCTCAGTATGAAGGAATTACAAGCTCCAAATACTTTTTGGAGTATAAAAAGTACTTGACTTTTTCACACATTTGCTAATACCCTTCTCATAAGTTTTATTTCTTTCTGATGTTTTGGCTAACACTGAGCTAACAGAAGCTAAATAATAATAAAATGAAGGACAGATAGTAAATATATTGAAATTGTCGTTCCTGGCTGGGTGCAGTGGCTTAACGCCTGTAATCCCAGCACTTTGGGAGGCCGAGGCGCGCAGATCATGAGGTCAGGAGATCAAGACCATCCTGGCCAACATGGTGAAACCCCATCTCTACTAAAAATACAAAAATTAGCTGGATGTGGTGACACATGCCTATAATCCCAGCTACTCGGGAGGCTGAGGCATGAGAATCACTTGATCCCAGGAGGCGGGGGTTGCAGTGAGCCAAGATTGTGCCCCTGCACTCCAGCCTGGCAACAGAGCAAGACTTCGTCTCAAAAAAAAAAAGGAAAGGAAAAAAGAATTAAAAAGAAATTGTCATTCCTGACATAAATTCCCATATCACTAAAATAGATCAGAGAGGTAGAATGTAATCTTCTCTAGCATAGGCATCGTTGCATTTAGGCCATCTGAGGGCTGTGAGCATGGCCTGCGAAGTCACTCTGAGCAACAACACAAGGTGGAGTTTGAAAGCAGATTCAAAGCCAGACCACTGGGCTTGAGTTATGGTAGATGCTTAGTCAATAACATTGTTGAACAGTTCTCATTATTAGAAATGTCTTTCATACTGATTCAAAACCTGTAACTGAAAGATATGAGTGAAAAGATAAGCTAATAGCGTTGTAGGCTTGCTTATAATCAAGTGTTAAAGAGTTTGAAATTTTAGGATAAAAATATTTCAGATATAAGATGCCATTTAAGCAATTTTAACTTCTTTTTGGAAAGAGAGTTCAAAATGAATGAATTTTTATCACTATATTAGTTTATGATTTTTATAAATATGAACATTTTTGTGATAATTGTATGTTGTCTTTTAACATTTTAGATTATAACCACTAGGTGTCAGTAAAACCCTAAGGTAAGGTTGACTTGCTGCCAACTTCACACATAATTTTGTGACCGTAAAAGACCTTGGTGAGCACAGTTCGAAAATATATTGTATTCCTTGGAATCTTCTAGACTCTCAATGAATATTTTATCTCACCCTAAAGTTATCTGTCAGCTCTGTAGGGGTGCCAGACTCTTAAAATGTTCATTTTAGAGTAGACTTTAGTTGTCACATACTTCAGTATCTAATTCAGGATCCTTAACAGATGGTCAGTTAGTCTTTGTTTCATCCCTTTGAGGATGAGGTTTTCACATTATGAGCTGCTCTAGATAGCAATTCTGTCTTATTTGATTTTGTCTCCACGGGCCTGGGCTATGATAGATGCTTAGTCAATAACATTGTTGGACAGTTCTCATTATTAGAAATTTCTTTCATACTGATTCAAAAGCTGTCCTGTTATAACCTTTGCTTATTGGTCATAATCATGAGGGCATGATTATGGTAGAGGCAGACAAAATCATTTTATTGCCATATCAGCCCTATCATGTACCCCAGTAAATTTTTCTTTATCCCCCCACACCAACTTTTTTTTCTCCCAATGAGATTCGCCACTCTTCCCAATTATTCCTCATGTGGCACAGTTTCAGAACTTGCCCACTCACTAGCCTGGTCACTGTTACCTTGAAATGGCTATTTGATCAAAGTTTCTCTTAAAACATGTTTCCCAGAATTAGGTAGACAACTCTAGGTGTAATCTGACTGGGCAATCACCCATCACCAAATCACTTTCTCTAAACTCAAATGCCTAAAAATCGTATCTTCCAGGACATTGGTGAGAAAAAGCCAAAATGAGTTTTGAGCAGCTACAATGTCATAAAGTCAACATACTTTGCAGTGGACCCTGCAAGCCTATCCTAACATGTTGCTAACCAACTAGGCT